AGAAACAGTTAGAAGCATTGGATAGTGCAAAGGCTATGGGCCCTGACAACATTCTGGCAATAGTACTGAAGACTTATGCTCCAGAACTTGCTACTCCCTTAGCCAAGCTGTTCCAGTCCAGCTACAGCACTGGCATCTACCCAACAGTGTGGAAAATTGCCCAAGTTTGTCCTGTACACAAAAAGCAGGACAAATACAATCTGGCCAGTTACCACCCCATCAGCCTACTCTCGATCTTCAGTAAAGTGATGGAAGGTGCTATCATGTAGTACCTGCTCAGCGACGCCCAGTTTGGGTTCCGCCAGGGTCACTCAGCTCCGGACCTCATTACAGCCTTGGTTCAAGCATGGACAAAAGAGCTGAATTCTAGAGGTGAGGTGAGAGTGACAGCCCTTGACATCAAGGCTGCATTTGACCAGGTTTGGCATTAAGGAGTTCTAGCAAAATGGAAGTCAATAAAAATCGGACAAACTCTCTCTGGTTGAAGTCAGACCCAACACATAGGAAGATGGTCGTGGTTGTTGGATGTAAGTCATCTCAGCTGCAGGACATCTCTGCAGGAGTCCCTAAGGGTAGTGTCCTAGGCCCAACCATCTTCAGCTGCTTCATCAATGAACTTCCCTCCATCATAAGGTTAGAATTGGGGATGTTCGCTGATGATTGCACAATGTTTATCACTATTTGTGACTCTTTACATACTGAAACAGTCCATGTCCAATGACAACATGATCTGGACAATAACCAGGCTCATGCTGACATGCAGCAAGAATCAATTGTGCCACAGAAGTGCCTGGCATTGACTGTCTCTGATGAGAGACAATCTAACCACTGCCCCTTGACATTCAATGGAGTTATCATCACTGAATCTCCCACTATCCACATTCTGCAGGTTACCGTTGACCAGAAACACAAATGGCCTCACCAATATAAATACCGTGGCAATAACAGCCAGTCAGAAGCTAAGAATACTGTGTGTAACTCACCTCCTGACTCTCCAAAGCCTGGCCACCATCTACATGGCACAAGTCAGGAGTGCGATGAAATACTCCCCACTTACCCAGATGGATGCAGCTCTAAAATACTAGAGAAGCTTGACACCATCCTGGATAAAGCAGCCCATTTGATTGGCACAACATCCATTCTCTCCAACTCTGATGCTTGGTAGCAGCAGTGTGTACCATCTACAATGTGCATTGCCGAAATTCAAAGATCTTGAGACAGCTCACGATAAATGGATCATCCATCTTCTGTTGCATCAAATTTGTTCTTTTGATAGGCTTGGTGAAAGCATTTTGAAGGAGCTTTAATCAATCTTTCAGACTGTTAGAACATACTTTAATCTTTAGTTCAATTTGATTCTTTACGAACATCTAAATTGTGAGGCAGGACGGAGAGAAATTGGGTTAGTACAACATGACTATAGTTTTTTGACTTGAGTACTGTAGGGGAGGTGATGGGCCTAGTGGTATTATCGCTGGACTGTTAATCCAGAGACCCAGATAACGTTCTGGGGACCCGGGTTCAAATCCCGTCATGGCAGATGGTGGAATTTGAATTTAATAAATGGGAGGAATTAAGAATCTAATGATGATCATGAATCCATTGTTGATTGTTGGAAAAACCCATCTGGCTCACTAATGTCCTTGAGGGAAGGAAACTGCCATCCTTACCTAGTCTGGCCAACATGTGACTCCAGACACACAGCAATGTGGTTGACTCTTAACTGCCCTCTGGGCAATTAGGGATGGGTAATAAATGCTGCCAGGCCAGCGACACCCTCAGCCCACCGTGAATGAATAAAGGAAAAAAAAGTATAGATAGAAAGTTTGACATAAAGCTTTATTAGAATATCTAAGCAACGTAAAGCATTGATATAATTGCTAACATTGATCAGCATACATGAAGTGTACTGTCTAATAAAGCTAAGCTGAAATGTACATAAGTTTAATTTTTTAAATAATACGTCAACATTGGGCTCTAATATGGGCAACCAACTGAAGTGAATGCTGTTGACAGTTTGGGGAAACAAAAATTTTGTGTAGCCCTAGATGGGTTCCTGATGTGCTAGTGCTAATTCAGAGAAAGAACTGTATAAGGATACAACCTTAGGAACATTGAGCCAAATACAGAGTCAAGTATTGCGGTTCTGCATGTAATACTGATACACTGCAGGCTTTTTACTTCTACAAGCTCATTAGTAATTTAGAAGCTGTACAATGGCATCTTCGATCACCGAGGAGTCTGGCTTCATACCTCTTTTAGGTCAGATGCACTACCAGGATAACAAATCCTTTGTAGGTAAGAAAGTTGTCATATTGATGAATGGGGGGTTAATGGGCAGAAATATCAAAGCTGTGTATTGTCAAAACTCCAGATAAGGAAATGTAATATTTAAATGCTACAATTTAATTGTGTTGTAATCAGAATATGTGCGTTATCAAAGGGGAAAACATTTCCTACATTTTGCTCAGAATAAAAGAAAACCCATAGTGGGAAATGTGAACTGTATCCATGTATTTTAATAGTTTTACATTTTTGAAATTCCAAATAAACAGGCGGGAACCAGGCAGTTTGTTTTGCCAGGTACCAGTTTGATTTTTATTGCGTGGGAATTTTAGGCTGGCCTTTTAAGATCGTGGGAACATCATTATTGCAGCCACTCTTACTTAAAGGGACCAGTCATGAAGCCCCTGTCATAACATTCCCCCTCTAGGCTCCAAATGAGTCATGAGTGTTACAATTCTGTTTCTAGGAAGTTATTTATTGAGTAAAAACAAAATCCTGCCAAGGCTGGAATTTGGAAATGAAAACAGAGAAACTCGGCAGATTTGGAAACATCTGCAGAGAGAGAAACAGGGTGGAATATTGCGTTTTTTTTTTGGCTAAGCATTAGTTGTGTCAAGTTTGGTCAACTGAAACTTATCGCGAGGCTGGTTACATTTCCCTGCCAGATATCACCAAACACTCTGCTTTAATTGCTGTTGCCAACCTATGGTATCACACAACGTCTCCATCCCATCTTACCATGTGTCATTCATGATAGAATTTGCCACTCACCTGACATCCACTATTAGACAGCATCCCTTGTGGCTATGCCATCTTTAAGAGCTCACGATGAACATGAAGGTACAGTGGCATCTGCCCTGCTCGAGACCAGTAACTGATGATGGCCAAAGAGATCAAGTTGGCACTGAAGTTCTCTAAAAGGGGATCTGGAGGTGCTGGTTGATGGGGCATTGGATAGGAAGTGTATTCTTTTCTGGGAAAACGGACAGAGGAGGTCATGTGACCGCTTAATGTCTGCCTGATTGGAGATTGCCACAGAAGACAGTGCCCTGTCCAGGATACAGAGGAGTGGCATGGTGGCTCAGTGGTTAGCACTGCTACCCCACACACCAGGGACCAATTCCACTCTCGGGTGACTGTCTGTGTGGAGTTTGCACGTTCTTCCCGTGTCTGCATGGGTTTCCTCTGGGTGCTCCGGTTTCCCCTCCCACTCCAAAGATGTGCAAGTTAGGCAGATTGGCCATGCTAAATTGTCCCATTGTGTCCAGGGATGTGCAGGTTAGGTGGATTGGCCATGGGAAATGTAGGGATAGAGTAGCGGGGTCATCTGAGTGGGAAGCTGTTTGGAGGGTCAGTGTGGTCTGGATGGTCTTAATGGCTGCTTCCACACTGTAGGGATTCTATGATCAGGCAGGAAGGGTATGTACTGTACCCTGCTGTCTGCTCCCTCTCATTCTCACTTGATGTTGTGCTCCTGCACTCGCCTCCCACCAAGGCCTGTGCTCTGACAGCCTCCTTTGTTGTATGCAAAATCTTTCTTCACTCCCTCCCACGCTTCTAACCCTGCAATCCCCTCTGAGCCGCCTGCTCATTGTCCTGGAATACCCCAAGGCCTTTGCCCAACATATACTAGCACTAACAGTTGCACCATTCACAGTAGAAGACATTCCATAGCAGGGCAGAGCAAAGACCGACTGGTTGGAGGGGGTGTGAGTCTTTACAGAAGTCAGACTGTGCAAGGTGAGGATTCCCTCTCTTACCAGGAAAGACTGGTCCAGGGTCTCTCGTGCAGAGAAACCCAGGTCCTGGCAATTAATTAGACTCTGCTTGTGGTTAGGCTTGGAACATTGACAAATGGTGATGCCGAAGTGTCATAGTCATACAGAATGGAAACAGGCCCGTCGGCCTAACTCGTCTGTGCCAACTCGGTTTCCTAAACTGAACTGGCAAAGGGAGTGCAGGATATGAGGTTGCTGAAGACCTCTTGCCCACGGTTATGCAGATGCATGAGGGAGAAAAGCCTCCAGGTCACTAGCGCTCAGAGGAGAGCTGCTGGCCAGGCCTCTGCTCAGTCTCCAGCAGGAGAAAACCATGTGGACCTGTTCAGACATGAGGGAGATCAGCCAGTAGATGTGTGGGCCGTTCTCACTGAGGAGCTGGAGCGATGCAGATGGCCTAACGGACTGAGACAGACCCAGCCCCTCAGGGAGTGTTAGTGTCCAGGACCAAAGCTAGGGCACAAGGGGGCAGGGAGCTAATGCATGTTGTCGATCTGCACTCACTAAGTTTTCCAAACTCCTGTCACTTAGCTTTTTATCCAGTATTTAAATACTCACCTCAGATTGATATTGTATTACTGTGTGGTGTCATTCCAGTATGACAACTGTTGAGATTTAATTGAGAGTATTTAGTAAACTTCAAGGAGGAGGAAAATTTTTGAGCTACCCCTGACCCTGTTAAGTTTTGTTTCTGTTTATTAACAATGAATACAGAAAGAGGGAAAGGAGAGGAAAAAAAGAGAATAGTTTGTCAGTCAGAAATAAATATTTAATTTTCGGTAGCATTTGGAGCTAGGAATCTCTTCTGTCTCTGACAATTTTTGAGTGTGTTATTAACAATAGTCAATTTGCTCAAATAGTTTGTCTCCTATTGTTTACACAGGAAATGTTTAATTCCTACAACTGATTTGAAACCAATGATTTGATCTGTTTTAGGTTTTCGATTTTCCTGACATACCAGACTTACTATGGGTACCCATTGACAACATACTTGGAGTATCCAGTCTTAATTCTACAAGGTAACCAATTATTCCGTATGCTGCTAGAATGACAAACTAAGCAGGGGGAAGTGTGAAAAAAGACTGTCATACTCTTTTCTTTGTGTAAGGGTTAACAGGACTTTGACAGTGCATTATGGAATTAAAACGGTTGGCTCCAGTTGGCAAGCTAACGCTCTCAGTAGCTGAGTTGGATAAACGGCAGCACTGCCTACTGTAATTTCTATAATCAGTTGTACTAGACAGTCAACCAGTAAGCTGCACAGGTTGTATGTTTTCAAGTCTGATCCTGAGTAAAGTTGACCGCACAGCTTCTGGGTTGTACTTCTGCATGAAACACAGAAAGTTAGCACACAAGAAACCTTTCAATCCTACAACTGGTTTTAAGGTACAAATTGACTGGTTGGAGAACAAATGATTTGATCTATTTGATCAACATGTAATCAGGAAGGCTAATGGAATGTTGGCCCTAATTTCAAGGGGGTTGGAGTACAAGAGGAGGGAAGTCTTACTGCAGCTGTACAAGATGCTGGTCAGTCCACATCTGGAGTACCGTGAGCAGTTTTAGTCCCCTTATTTAAGGAATTATATTATTTCATTGATGGCAGTTTAGAGAAGGTTCACTAGGATGATCCCTAATATGGAGAGATTGCCTTATGAGCAAAGGCTAACCAGGTTGGGACTCGACTCACTGGAGTTTAGAAGAATGAGAGGTGATCTCATTGAAACACAGGATTCTTAAGGGGCTTGACAGGGGAAAATGCTGAGAGGACATTTACCCTCATGGGAGAGTCCAGGACCAGAGGGTTGAGTATCAGAATAAAGGGCATCAATTTAAGACTGGGATGAGGAGGAATTTCTTCTCTAAAGGTCAGAGTCCTTGTGTATATTAAAAGCTGAAATAGATACATAGATTCTTAATCAGTAGGAGAATCAGGGATGACAGGGGAAAAGGCAGGAAAGAGGATGTGAGGAATATTGGAGCAGACTCAATGGGCCAAACAGCCTATTCCTGTTCCAGTTTCTTATGGTTGTGTGATTACCTTTAATGTTATGGGCTGGAGAAAGAAAGGAAATCCCTAGCTTCCTGTAATTCAGCATTATCCAATAATCTCGGTTGGATAGTGCGCATGAAGATGTTTGTATGTATTGGGCATGGTTTTGACTAACTCTACAAATGAATTATTGACATCTTCCAGCCTCTAGGCAACCTGCTTTACAAGGAGCTAGCAAGTAGGAAGGAAGTAGGTCAAACATTTAGAAATCAAGTATAATGCCTAATATTTTATATTCTACAAGCTGAAATTCAAAACGTACTGCACCAAAGAAATCCCTGAGCTTATACTTTATCACTTTATCACATTGGTATAGCATGTGACCCACGTTTAGTGCTGTACTTCTCCAACTTTTCCCACTGGGACCTCTATTGAGGTATAAAAATGATCATGCACCCTTGGTGAGAACTGAGTGAACAAGTGATAGGAGAGGGAAGATCTGTGAGAGGCGAATGGAGAGAAGAGATGGAGCACTGTGGAGCTTGTATTGACCTTTACTTTGGGAAGCTCTGATTTAGTATTTGACAAATAGTACAGTATAGTAATGGCAAAGATTCAACAAATGATTTTCTGTATGAAATAAAGAATATTAATGCCTGAAAGCCGAAATAAGAGAGAACGCCACATGTGTCTAACAGGCTTGTCAGCATGTGAAAGAGAAAACAAGTGGTTAATGTTTCAGGTGGGACTGTTTGATCACAATTAAAATTATTGTCTCTTGTTGATGGGTTTCATGGGAATTAAAATTTTAATTAATGATTGCGTTAATTTCTGCGAAGCAAGCCAATTGTACACCTGTGTTTGTATCGTATACCACTAACGCTACTGTTCTTTGTTTTTGCAGATGTTATTCTCTTAATGTGTGTTCTCTTTTATAATGGAAACATTGGAACAGCTTTACCGTACACAATCCTGTATCCTTGGCATTTTAATTCTGAATAAGGGATCCTTTTGCAATTCTTTTAATTCATTCACAGGGCTGTTTTACATGCACATATCCATCTGAAATTCAGTGCTATGACAAAGCTATGTGTGACATGTGGGTCTTGCCTGGAATTTCTCATGCATATCATTCTGATCTGGAGCATTCCTGCTGTGAGCAGAGACCAATGAAAAGTCTAAGCAAATGTCGACCCTGGATGTCTCTTAAGTATCTCTTTATGGCCAATTTCAGAGTGAGAGTGGGAGGATGTGGGTGTAATGAATGTCAACATCTTTAGCTGTAATAGATTGCAAGCGGGTTAAATTGGGGCAAACGGGAGAAAGTAATGTTAGCATCTTAGAAAAATGCATGGATTGTTTCATGTCTAGGGATTTAGCTAAGTATTTACTCATCCCCTGCAGGTTTGATGTTTGAGTGACTGATTATGTAACAGCTTTGCAACAATCTGGAGTCCTATGTTCCTATTATGCTATATTTCCAGGATTAAGATATTACAGTGACCATCATCAGCAAGTGGTGACATGAGAAAGGCAGCTGTAGTTCACATCAACATTATTTTTCTTTTCATTCAGTTAGTTACTACAATGAATCAAGCCCAACATTACCCAGAGGAAATTAAGCCTTAGCTAAATGGACTAGAAATTAAATTTGTAGAGTGGGAAGAGCAACTGGAGGGAGAAGAGATTTTGAACCTGCCAGAACCTATTAGTCTTAACAAAGCTTTGTTCCTTGGAGATAGCTCAGGAAAATAAGCATCTTGAGTCTCTGATTTGGAGGGCCATGGATTTAAATACCACAGCAGGATTTGGCCCCATGATTCAGGCTAGTTTTTGAAGAGTTTTAAGATGGTGCTGTCTTCTGCTCTGCCATCTGAAGGACTGGCAGGGTATGTGTCCCCATTGACTGTGGCAGCTGTTTGGCACTTCCAGGAGCTTTAATCAGCTTGAGGCATGATTTCTGATTCTCAGTCAGGAGAATGTAGTTGTACAATCTTGAGGTGCTCAAGTGACAAATAATTGATGAGTCAATGACGATGGCAGAAAGAATGGTAATGTTATAGAGTCATGGTCGTTGAGTTATACAGTACAGAAACAGACATTTGGTCCAACACGTCCAGGCTGATCAAAATATATCCAAAATAAATCTAGTCCCATTTGCCAGCATTTGGTCTATATCCCTCTAAATCTTTCATATTCATATACCCAGCCAGATGCCTTTTAAATATTGTAATTGTACCAGCCTTCACCACTTCCTCTGGCAGCTCATTCCATACACACACCATCTTCTGTGTGAAAAAGTTGCCCCTTGAGTCCCTTTTTAAACCTTTCCCCTCTAGCCTTAAACCCACTCCCTCTAGTTTTGGACTCTCCTATCCTGGGAATATGACCTTGACTATTCACCCTCTCCATGTCCCTCATGATTTTATAAACCTCTATAAGGTCACCCCTCCGCCTCTGATGCTCCAGGGAAAATAGCCCCAGTCTATTCAGCCTCTCCCAATAGCTCAAACCCTCCAACCCTGGCAACGTCCTTGTAAATCTTTTCTGAACCCTTTCAAGTTCCACAGCATCTTTCATGTAGCAATTTGTTTAACTTTTTAACATTATTCAAATAGCTTACGGTAAGAAGGAATAGAATAAAATCATAGAAACTCATGGTGAGAGAGAGATTTTTATTTTTATTTCATGGACATTGCTGTTCCTTGCTAAGCCAGCATTTGTTGTTTTTAATTATTTACAAGAGAGTGACGATGACTTACTTTCTACAACAGTTCAAGTAGTGCAGGTAAACCTGTAATAAAGGCAGCGAGGGAAATTGGTTGAGATAACAAAGGTTGTTCCTGATCTTGCACTTCAGTCACCTCACAAACAATATTACTTCTAAATGCAAAGGTCCTAATTGGGAAGGAATGAACTTGGTCTAGAATTAGTGGTGCCAAATGCATCTGGAAAGCAGGAGCTACAAAAGGGAGGTGACCTGCTGAATAGAGAAGGCAGTAGTTCAGAGGGTCAGGCAAAACCAAAGTAATGCACTTGACATAGCTCAAGATAACCTCATGAACAGACACTTTTCAGCTATTTAAAAACAAACTTTCTGATCTCCCTGCATTGACTCCAACGGCCAGCTACTAATGTGCATCAGATTGTCTGGGTTTGTTGAAGTTCCCTTTAAACTGTAATTTTCAATGTTCCCTACCTGACAACGTCTCCTGAAAGAGTTAATGGGCCATTAGTTGGCAGGGACAGGATTCCCTGTTCCTCCCCACTCACCATCACTTTGGAAATTTTAAAATGTAACAGAGATGTCAGGATTCAGTGTCAACTGAGACTGTGGTTTTTGAATTTCACCAGTTCCCTGTTTTCAAACCTACCAGCTTTTAAAAACCCAGTTCTTGTAATAAAACCAGAAAATGTTGGAAATACTCAGCATCCGTGGAGAGAGAAACAATTTTGGATCGATGTCCTTTCGTTCAAACTTCCAGCATCTGCGTTTTTTGTCTTTAGTCTAAGCGTTTCCTCTTGTTCTGTCTACTGCTTGAGAGTTATGTGTAGCTCCTCAGGCCTGAGAGTAAGACTCACTTCTTGGTTGAAGTTTTACTTTTGGAACTTGTGGTTTGTGCAATGATTATTGCAACTTTTAGGTGAAGAGTTATAAGTGTTGGGGTTGAAGTACTGGGTTAGTAACTTGGGAACTAACAATTCAGAGAATGTACATTCAGATCTCACCGTGGTAGCTTAAGAGTTTGAATTCAGGTTTATTTTTAAAAGTAATGAAAAATCAAAGGCTGGTACCAGTAACAATAACCAGTCAGCTTGTCCTACAAACTGAACTGGTGCACTAATATTCTTTAAGAAAGGAACACCACCGATTGAGCCCTGCACTGTAAATTGCCTTCTGAAGTGGTTCTGGGAACGAGCACTGCCCTTGTCAGTGACACCCACATACTGGGAATAAATGTAAAAAAATTGTTCACGAGATTTTTTTTTGGTCAGAAATATATTTATCGGACCCCAGCAGAGGAATTGCCAAAGCAAAGGCAAATGACTCAATAAGGTAGTTCAACCTCATAGAAAACTTACAATTATGAATTGGACCATAACCTTTTATGTTGTTATTCTGCGAGTTAATAATAGGTTCCATATCTTTAGAAAGCACAACATAAGCATGGAATGGAATGTTCATGAAAAAAGATAGTAGAATTTAATAGCAGACATACAAAATGTACATAAATAAAAGATTGAATTCAAAATATTAGAAAACGCATTAACTTGCCTAACATGCCTAGGAATGTCCAAGTATAAACTTTTTTTAATGTTTACAGACGGCAAATGGTTTTTGCATGCATTCCATTTTTAGTTTCTTCCTTAGCGACATTCAGATTTATCATTGGTTGGCGTCTGTTAACAATCCATAAGTTAATCATAGACTTAGCTATGGTAAGTATTCCATGAAGCAATCTGTATTTGTGGGTGATGCTTTACGTTACTGCCAGTGCTGAGAACAGTAGGTGTATGCTTCATGTAATAATGGACTGACTACTACACCAGACTTCAAATGGTCTAATTTGGAATATTAATGACGAGCTACAGTGGAGCTTTTCACATTAATGACAGCCAGTTATACCTGTTACTGACTGAAGGAGATGAGATTGAGTTGGGCGACAGCTGAATTCCAATTTTCTCTGTCTTACAATATCAGCTGGAATATCATTTCAGGGATGTGGTGGTGAACAGAAAAATACGCACCAGAGAAAACCAAGCATGTGGGATACCATTTGTGTTCACTCTAACTGCAGAGAGTACCCTGAAATTCCTATAGATGTAGCCATTTCTAATATAATACCTTGTTCATTTAAATAATATTTAAAAATCAATCCTCATCTTCAATAATTTGTTCTTGCAAACCATGTAGTTTTACTTTAAGGATTCTGGCCAGGAATGAGTAAATTGCTTGACTGAAGATGTGTAGGAGTGGCATGTCACTTTGACATGATCTACAGGCACTAGCGAACTAAGCAGGTTATGTTATTTTTCCTAGTGGACTTAATGGTGGATAGTGCAGTCAAATAAACCTGTGGGTTCTGTGTTGTAATTCATGTGGGAGTTATGATGCTACATGTACAAAATGGAGTGTAAAGTTTGCAATGCAATTTTTATCTCTGTAGAGAGAACTGTACTTGCTGTCTTTTTGGTTTGAGATTATTAGAAGGAGAAAGAGTACTGGCAATATATCCAAAAGCACTAGCAGACAACTAGCCTAGAATGAATGAAAAGCTAGGCTAGAACAAGGGGTGCCAAAAATATCCATTACCAGCTCAAGAAATCCTAGGAAAAATATTAGCAACTCGATCAGAATTGTGTGTTAAATTTATCACTTAGTCTTAGAGTATTTTGTAATTCTGTATCTTGTGTATTCAACTTCAGACTGTTAATACTGTTCAGAAATAATTGCTTTTATTTTGATAATTCAAAAATAGACAACAATTGCTGTTAATCAGAAACTTGAAATCTAGTAATTCAGTGTTATTTAACTCTTTAACCACACATGCCTTTGCTCTAGCTGCCTATTCCCACACCAGCATGTGACACTGGGAGTAGTCCAGACGTTACAACCTTTGAGATCCTGCTTTTTAATCTGCTACCTAGCTCCCTCTTTTGACCTAGACTGTCCTACAGGCAGTCAGTGATATCCTTTATTCTGGCCAGGGTGGCAACAGACTATCCCGGAGCCATGTCTCTGCCTGCAGAAATGCCTCCATATCCCTTGCTATTGAATCTCCTACTGCAATAGCTCATCATTTGTCTGGTTTCCATCCCTTCCCCTTCTGGCTGTGTTCCCCAGAGGAACAGTCAGTTGTTCATTTTCCAAACACTGTTCTTGAGTTAGTTGCGCTCTGGACTTTCCAGACTGCCTCCCTTCCTTCCTTCTGATTGGTCAACCATTCCATCTCTGATAACTCCCTTCAGCTTTTTAAAATTCATTAATGGGATGATGGCATCGCTGGCTAGGCCAGCATCTATGACCCATCCCTAAGAGCAGGGAGCTGTTCAAAGTCAACCACATTGCTGTGGGTCTGGAGTCACACATAGGCCAGACCAGGTAAGGATGGGTTTTTCCTGACAATCGATAATGGTCATCATTAGACTGTTAATTCCAGTTGAACTCATTGCATTCAAATTCCCCCATCTTCTGTGGTGGGATTCGTACCCAGGTCCCCAGAACATTAGCTGGGTTTCCTGGATTAACAGTCCAGTGATAACACCACTAGGGCGTTGCCACCACCTGAGGTGACCATATTTAAAAATGTGCTCTCCAATAACTCTCAGCCTCACGGATACGCTGCTGTGCTCAAAAACCTGGTGCCCAAACTGATTGAGCCAATGGCACTTCCTGCAGATGTGGTCCTCCAGACGGCCAAGAGATCCTACAATTTCCCTCATTCTGTAGGCCATACAACACAAGGAACTGAAACCTCCGCATCATGCATTTAGTTTAAAAACTATCTTACCCTGAATTTAAATTACATAGTTTTCTTTAAAAAGCTCGATCTTTCCCTCATGCAGCTTTAAAGTCAACAAAAACAACTTGCCCATGACCTATCTCTACTTCTTTCTGATGCTGCCTTTGTCAGTCTTTGCTCATCCCTCCCAGTCTGCTTCACAGCGATACTGACTCACTGCACACTCCTCCCAGTCTGCTTCACAGCGATACTGACTCACTGCACACTCTTCCCAGTCTGCTTCACAGCGATACTGACTCACTGCACACTCCTCCCAGTCTGCTTCACGGCGATACTGACTCACTGCACACTC